GTCCGCGGCTCAAAGAGGGCAGGAACCCCACACCCACATCCTATTCGTAACATCTGCGAATGGAACGACGGTCGCCTGTCGGCTGCAGCGTTGTGAATGTTTGGCATGACTAGCTGTGTTGTCTGTTGTAGGGTCCAGCGACAGCGGCGGCCACCACCCATCAAACATGGAACGATGGCGGCCACCCGGCGGCGATCTTGCGATCGGCGATCAGGTGGCGCGCCCCTTGACCTGAAGTATGGAACTTGGCCGTGGTTGTGGTGCCCATCAACGGTTGAGGCTGAGGCGGTAACAGCCTTCGCACAAGCAGCATTCGCCAAGAACACTGATGGGTGGGCTGACCGCAGCGTGTTGAGGGCTTCCATGTGTGGCGCCTGACGCTCAGGGCGCTGTGGCACTAAGACGCTGCCTACCTGGCATTGATTCTGGATAGGAACCAGCCGGCGACGATGATGCGATCAGCGATCAGGTGAGAAGCCCCTCGACCTGACCTGTAGGCGGTTGTGTGGCCCATCAGTGGCGGCGGTGGCGAAGGCCTCCGCAGCAGCAGCAGCGAATGCCACGAGCAAAGGCAAGTGTGCTGAGCATGGTAGGCGTGACAAGTTGAATGGTCCCTTGTGTGCTGCCCGATGCTCAGGTGTTTGATGTTTCATAGCGCTGTTTACAGGTCGCTTGTCGTGGACAGCAGCCAAGACGACGAGGATTCGAAGAAGACAGGGATGAGCTTAGTGTTGATCTTTTCCAGGGTTCAATAACGGGGCTGTCGTCAAGGTTTGGCTTGAACAACCTGACTAGAGTGCGGAAGGATGATCTTTGTAACAAAACAGTTTGTGAACGACTTGTAGTTGATGTCAGTGTGTTGCATGCTTGTGCACTTGGGGTTTGTGACACACATGCGCTTGCTGCGTGTGACCCCTGCATGGTAGATAGGAGTGCATCTTAGATAGGGGTGCAGCAGCTGCAGCCAGTGAAGATGCTATCCACTACCAGACGTGGTTGAATGCATGGGCGGTGCAGTTCAAGGAGGCAACGATCGAACAACGTGGCAACAACTGCATGCATATGGAAGCACAAGGGCACTAAGAGCAAAAAGCACACAACGCAGCCTCCGATGGCAGCACCGAGGGGACACAACCACCAAGGCATTGTCCACAATTGCTGATTCATATCTTCCCAAGGCTTGGCCCAACATTGTATCTAACACGTGTTGACTCAAAGCACAGCAAAGATATCTCGGTGCAACACGCCAAAGATATCTCAATGCAACATGACAACAAGAGAACCGTCCTGCAACGTTGCCATCAATGTACCCTGCATCAACCTTTTCCACGTCAAAGAATGACCCCATTGATAGCCTGTTGCTGGACGCCTGGATTGCTGTAACGTTATCTGCCCTTTTCGCAATACAACTCAGCATCAACGTTGATGTGTGCAGTCGTTGATCCAAAATTCCAATAGCGTGTCTTGCGGCAAGGTACCATCAAGACGTATTGCTGCAATCTTGCATCAACACCCCAGCAACAGCCCTTGATAGCAACACTCCATCAATTCAGGCATTGATGCAACGTTGCCATATTGCTCTTGATGCAACATTGCATCAAGACCGCTCTACACACACCAGCTCTTAAGACCGGCGTTGATGGAAGTGTCCATCAATGTTGCATCAACGCCTAGCAAATTTCCGGATGTCAACCGCCTCGGCACGAGGCTGTTGGGGCATCTGGCTGCAAATTTCGAAAGACCTGCGGCGGTCGAGAGCAACAACACGCGGAGGTGGTGCTTGTCTCCTGCACTTCGAAATGTGGCCACGAGTTTTGTCTGCAGGACTTTGTGCTTGTGCTCATATGCATGCTGGGACATCGCGTTGTAGAGTCAGTTATCTGTTTCCCAGCGCCAGCGGCATAATCCGTTGTGGATCTGCAGTACGAACGGATTGGAGCTCTTCAAAATATGCAGCGCGAAATTCCGTTTGATTCGGTCACACGATGCTGGCGATGGGTGAACGTCTCAAAGGATTGATTGTCTTGCACCGGGACTGCACAGATCACGCTGTGCAGAACGTATAATTATGCGCCGCAAAGTGAATGCAATATTCCACTGCAACAGTTTCTGTGAATGCTTGGGCATGTGCTTGTAAGTGAACCAGGAAGATCAGTGATGATGAGCGATTGAAGCACATGAGCGGCGCGCTCTCTGCAAACAGATTCCCCCCCGTGTCAATTGCAAGATGCACAAAGCTGTGGCGGGCAGCTCCAGAGAAATCTGCCCTCCCTTTTGCCGCTCTGGCGATGCACGTATGGGCGCTGGCGTGTCTGACACTCAGCTGATTTGTTGACAATAAAACCAAAACAGCGCGAGCTGCAGCGTTTGATGATGCGCTTGTATGATGATATTGCATAACAAATCGTCGTCAGCAGACGGCGGACAGGCGGGCTCAAGGAACGCTGCGGTTGGTTCCATCAGAAGTACGAAATGATGCCCGACTTGCCCGCAGCTCTGACAGACTATGTCGCGAAGAAAGAAATCCAAATGAAAGCTGGACACGGGCACTAATGACAAACTGATGCGAAATCTGCCAATCGAACGCAAGGGGGTTGGTGCGGCGGGCAAGTGTATTGTCCACAGCCGCAGGTGGCCTCCCCATGTTGACAGTCGCTGTGTCCGGCGCATGTCACGTTGGCACCTGCCGTGAGACCACTAGCGCGCAGTGGGCACCCACCTTCCGTTCAGAAGCTGTGTAATACTTCAAAGAGGTGCCAAAGTGCATGATTTTCGCGCACAATCACGAGTCCCAAGGAAAGAGCGCGCGGATACCGTGGCTGTACGGGACTGCCTGTACCCCTGCCACCACCACCGCAAGACACCACCACACGCCCAAGACAGACACCGCCTGTGCCCCGCTCGAATCCCCTCCTTACTCACCTCTCCATGCATGAGGTTCCCGATGAGTGAGCGCGGGGACAGTAAAAAATCGTGGTGGCGGCGGTCGAATGCTCGCTGATTCGTTTGATGGACACGCCGGTGGGCCTTGATCCCATGGGACCCATAACGGTGCGCGCCTCCAAGCTCATTCCCCGCACCCCTGGTGTCCTTCTCCGGCCAGTGCGCTTTTTAATTGCCGTTTCCCACCCGCTGGGGGGGCATCCCTCCTGACCGCCCTTTCACCTAAACCCCCCACGTTCCACGGGCGCGGGCGCGCGGGCCCCCGGGCGCGTCGCCCCATGAGGATGGGGGGCTTCTGCAGCTGCTTCGGCAGGCCCACCCTGCCGGAGCTGCTGGAGCCCAGCCCCCGAGGTATGCGCGGGAAAAGGCTGCTCCGGGATCCTCTCAGAGGTCGCGGGGGATGGAAACGGGCGGGCGAGGCGCCCGCGGCCTCTCGAGTCCGCGGCCGCGCAGCGTGTCGACCTGCGGCCTCGGCGATGCGATTTCGTCCGCGCGTTTGGCGCACAGCCGAGCGGGTTGGGCGGTTGGGGAGTGGGGGAGGGGTCGCTTGCAGCTTGGACGCGCGTCCTGTGTCACGAATGGTTTTGGAGCGGGCATGGTCGGCGGCCGGCGAAGTGTGGCCATGCCGAAAGGGTCGTCGATGCGCTGATGTTGGGGAGGGGGCCATTGGCGCGGGGCGCCCCGCGGGTGCCCGGTGCAGCCGGCTGACGCCTTGCTCGCCGTGTTGGCTGCCCAAGGCGTCGACGACGATCTGCCGACGACGGGGCGTATGAGCTCGGCGGCCAGCGAGCACAGCTCCCGGCTCTCCGAGTACGCCGTCGCTCAGGTGAGCACCTCCCGAATCCCCGAATCGTGACATTGGGTCCCCCCCGCCCCCGGTTGGCCGTGACGCGCAATGGACCCACTTTGGTCCGATGGGCCTCCGCTTGGGGCGCGTGGGGCGGTCCCGGCTGTCCCACGCCTGCCCTGTGGGCCAACGGCGCTGGGGTGCCTGCGGCCGCCCCGAGGAGCCCTAGGAGGGTTTCGCCCGGCTCTGTTGAGAATCGCTGCCCGATTTGCGCCCCTTGGCGTTGTGGCGTGGGGGGCGCGGCTGGGCAGATGGCTGGCTTTGTGGCCGGATTTTGGTCGGCGTGATCCCAGAGACGGGGCTCAGGACCCCAGGATTGTCCCGTGGGCCTGTGAAGCCCGCTAGAGGCGGTTTGGAGCCGTGGGTCATGTTATGTTAAACTCCAATCTGACCCCTTGCATGGGTTGCGGGTGTCCACCAACCGGGGCGCTGTCCCGCCCGGACCCACGCGCCTGGCAGCGTCGACTCTCACCGACCTCTTTGCGCCTCTCCATCCCAATTGGGGCCGTGGGTCAGGTGGAGCGGGTTTGGGGGTGCGCGCAGGTGGGCGCCCAGACGCCCTGCGCGCCGGTGGCGGAGACGGAGCTGCTGGACGTGGTGGTGGCGGAGGACGGGGAACTGGTGAGGACCAAGAAGCTGGTGGCAAAGGGGGCGGCCTCCAACCTGGCGGCCCTGATCGTGGAGGCCCACGACCTGGCCAAGAGGGCCGTGCACTCCATGCAGACGTGCTTCACGCTGGTGCACAGGCTCTGCACGCTGCAGCAGTGCATCTGGCTCGACAGGTGGGTGAAGGAACGGCTTGCAGTGCCTCACGACCCCCTGGGTACCACGCAATGGCGTAATAACCACGCAATGGTGGGCCGCAAGTCCTTGCAAGACAGGCATGTGGGATGCTGTGGGTGGGTGGCTGGCTGGCCTGCCGATGCGCAGATGTGGGATGGCCGCCAATTACATCGAATCTGGCTTGCATTTGGCAGCAATTCTGCTGGCAGGATCCCTTTTTTGACTTGTGTGTTGTGCATGTGGCAGGCGGCTCATGGCGGATGCTGTTGTGATGCTGGAAGTGCAGGAGATTGCTATGGAGGTGATTCACATGAACAAGCTGTTTTCAAACAGGTCAGTGTAGAGTTGTCTTGTTCACATCTGGTGTTGGCCTTCAATAACTGTACAACAGTAGCATTCAGTAACTGTGTCAACGATCGCACCAAAATCTGAATGGAGCCTGGCCCCAACCCCACCTGCATTTGAAAGAAGCATCAATTCAAGAAAAGGTTCTGGCGAAATCACATGGGTTCATTGATTCGATCGCACTCAATTTGAGGCACAATGATCAACAGTGGGAGGAGCAGAACAAGGGATGCATACTGAGTTATCCTCATAGATTCCATCAGCACCCCCCTTTTTGACTTTGTTGTTTCCTGGTCTTCAAACTGGCTTCACACCTTTGACAACAGATTGCTGGAGGCACACCATTGGCAGTGCAAATTGGAGAGGAGAAATTTTATAGCTTATGAAACATCATGTCAGAGGCACCCCTGGTGCCAAAATTCAAGTGAGAGCTGTGGAGAAACAGGATGGAAAGGATGTGGGGGATTGGAGTCGGTGACCCCTGCACCCAGCCTTTGATGCCAGGACTCAGCAGGTTGTCAGCAGTGCACTGGTCTGTTTGGGGTCATGGCGATTTTTGTTCAGCTTTATTCAAGGGCAAGGAAGTACGGTAGCAAAACGGTGACAGTTTGCCTGTGATAAGGCTGCTTTGCAAGCCATATCTCTGGCATGGTGGCTTGCTGAACGAAAAGCCTTTGGGTGGTGCAGGAAAAGTGTTGACTTGTGGTGTGTTCGCCAATCGGCAATCCTCTCTGTCAACAGCTTCCCAGACTCAGCTTTTTGCTGTTTGTGCACTCATGTAAGGGCTTGTCTCTATGGAGGAACCGATTCTTCCTTGTCATCAGGCAGAAATATGTTAGAATAGTTTGTGACCAGGTGGCTATCTGACAAGTTGATTGCTGTTTGAAGGGGATGGCTTGCTCGCCTGAACAGCCCAGATGCTGATGACAAGGTGGAATTTATGAGGCTATCTGATGCGATCACTGCACTGCAAGAGAGATGCAGTGCAGATCAGCTCGTTGGCATGACGCAGAGGGATGTGAGTGCTGCCCTGTAGACTGGCTATATGTGTGCTTGTCCAACATGACGATCATCATGCTGTGCAGCCTGTTATCACAGTCCTCAGCTTGCCAATAATGTTGTTGTGTGGGTCCTGGTTTTATGGATGGCATGGTTGTTGTCACTGACGTGTGCTCAATTGGCATTGTAGTGGGCATTATGTAGTATCTGGCTTGCACCTGGACTTCTCCCTTTGCTTTGTTTGCATGTTCTGCCTAAATCCTGTGAAGACTATGGTGTTGCTGAATGTGGAAAATGCTCAGATACAACATCTTGTTTGTGACCCTTGTTCTGGTGTTCCTTGCAGCTTCGTGCCGCTGAATGGGGTCCATCCTCTGGACAACTTATGTGGCATCTCCGGCAAGTTGGAGGTTTGCACATGATGGTTCACAAGGGCAGGCATGAGTTAAGAGAGTTCGTCTCAAGACTTGCCCCGCTGTTGAGTGTGCGAAGCAGTGCTGTGGCCGATCTTGTCGATCAAGAAATCAAGGTGTGCCTTTGCGTTTTATTGCTATGCCATGATGTGACACCCCTTGTCCACTTCTAGCTACACAGGCAACACAAGAACTTGTGGACACCCTCTGGCTGTCTTTCTACCATATCCAAGGTAGCACACATGAAATGCTTGGTAGTGTGTCCCCCTGAAGATTCAGCTGCGTGCATTCTCTGCGACTGTACATGTATGCAGTGGTCTTGTTGGTGAAACATTAGCCTTCTTGGCAGTTGGTTTTGTGGTACATCAACTGCTAAAGAGACGGAGATTTCTGCACAGCGACTACAGCACTGATGGGATGCCGCTGCCATGCAGATCGCTTCTGCCTCTGAGCTGCCAGGCCCACACTGTGCTATAAGACACCCCGATGTCCGGCTGCTTTGGTACATATACCTGCGGCAGGAAGAGGTTCCATGGGCACTGTTTTGGAACCATTTCCCTGAGTCGCTTCTATTGGATTGCACTACCTCGGAAATAGTCGGCAGTCCGCAATACATCACAGAACTGCTGAAGAGTGACAAGAGCAAGAGCCAATTTCAGAAGGCCATTCAAAGGGTTGGTGCCAGGCAGTACATCACCACTGTGGAAGTGGACCATGCCTTTCCCCCAAACAAGACGATCGAGGAATGCGTGCGCAGAATCTTGGACATGAGCTCAGAAGTGGCTTACATTATGCCCCGCCGTGGCACCCCAACGACAGACATGTGGGCAACTGCCACAAGCGTCACGGGGACGGGGATGTCCAAGACCAAAGGAAAGAGTGATGTGACAGAAGACACTTTCGATGAGCATATTGGGCAGCGTATGGAGGAGGTTCGGGAGGACATGATCATCCCTGAGTTCAAGGGCTACATTGGCGATCTGTCTGGCATACCAGGTGCAGCAATGCCCCAGGTTACTGTGCTGGCCCTCTGTACCTCCAGCATGTTGCCCTCCAAAGCGTTTGCTGGTTGTGGGACCTAGCATTGCTGCATCCCCTGCTGCTTGTTGGGTGTTTGCACGCAAGGTAGGTTGTGTGTGCGCTTGTACTTTGGATATAGGTTCCCGCATGAAATGCTGGACAAGTGTTGTCTGAATGTCTCTTGTGTGCATGACCAGGTGAAGGATGCCAGATGGTTGGGAGAGAAGAGGAGATCAACAAACTTTGTGCCCTCCTTGAAGAGGGCCGACGACTTGTTGCCATTGTGGGCATGTGTGGCATTGGCAAGTCCGCGGTTGCTGTTGCAGCTGTTGATCAACTTCTTCAGTACAGGTTTTGGAAGAATGCTCATTACGTCAATCTTGCAAGAGTCGAAACAGTCGAGGATGCGGCTGCAAGAATAGCCTGCAGCCTGGCAGTTCCACTGTTTCAGAGCTCAGTGACCAGCGGTAAGCACAGCTGTGTGTGAATTGCCACGAGAAGTGGATAACCTATCCAGGGGGTCAGGTGTTCTTACCATCAAGCACAGATCACCATCTTCATGGCCATGTGTGTGTTCCACCATTGTCATGCGACAAATCATGGCAATTGCCAGTTTCTGTGTTAATGCCAAAGTACTACTTGAGCCAATTGGTGGCTGTTCCCAGTCTCATTCCAGTCACAGCAATATGTGTTGTGTGAGTTGCTTGGGCCGTAGATTCGCGATGTGTTCTCGACTGCTGTTGGCACTGCCACATCTCCTTTTGAAGATGTGCCGCACTAGGAATATATCCCACAGGGTCACTGTAGGTATCCATTGGAACTGACAGACCTTGGCTCTTCAAAGGAGCAAATTGAGACACAAGAGGTAGCAACTGTTGCTTTTTGATGTTGGTTGTTTTTGAAGCCAGTTCCCTCAAGTTTCTTTGGTAAATACCCTGTCAGAACAGCACTTAAGACAACGATGTGTGGCTGTGCGCAGTTCAGCGGCTCACCAACTGGTTAAAGCGCGAGGGTCCTGAGCAGCCACGCTGCGGATGGCTGCTGGATGGAGTCGACACCTTGATTATGCACTCAGGCACACGGGCTTCATTCTTCAGCCTCCTTATGCAGGCAATGCGGCACACACCCCATTTGCAGCTTGTGGTCACTTGCAGGTCGTTTCCAGACATAGTGGAGCCCAATCGTGTGGAGGAGTTGCTACACCTGGATGAGCTGTCTCCTGAGAACGCCATGAATCTTGCAGAGGGAATATTGGGCGGTGGCATCTCCAGAGGTGAAGCTCACTACCTGGTGAATGCGTGCGGGGGTGTTCCGCTGGCCATCAAGATAGCTGGAGGGTGCGTTGTGGCAGGGGTCTGCTCTGCTGTTGACTTCATGGAGAGCATGAGAGAGCCAACACATGGTGAGCAGCCAGCCCACTCAAGAAAGAGCCATGTTCTTCAAACTGCAGGAATGGCTGAGACATGTGCACTGGGCTGAGTCCGACAGTTGTGTGCCCTTTTTGTCTCCTGGAGCCACCTTGAAATCTCAGTCGAGTGTTTTGGATATTGCTGTGGGGTGCCCTGCTGCTGCCTTTTTGCGTTGTAAAGGCATTTGTGTTGTTTGTTTCAACAGATTCGGATCTGAGTGCTGTTGGCAGTCCTCTTGGTCCTAGAGCCAGGGTGCAGAGTGCCATCAAGGCAGGGATAAGTGCACTGGACGCCGACGAACGGCAGTCATTAATGCTGCTGTCAGAGTGCCCTGCAGAATTCTCTGTTGAGAATGTGGGTGCTGTTTTGGAGAAGGCCCAAAAGCCAACACATGTGTGGGCCCTGCTGTGGCGGCTCATGATGAGAGGTTTCCTGCGCTTCATTCCGGCTGATGGTAGGCATATGGCTGTTAGCCCTGGAGATGTCACAAGGGATTGGCTTGGGGTTGCGGAAGGGCCTGCAAGTGAAAGGTGTCAAAACGCCTGTGGAACTGGTGTGGAAAGAAGGATGCGCTTTGGCTTCAGTTCGTGTGGTACTTTGTCAGCGATGTTTGGGGGCGATTGCACAACCAGAATCAACTCCTGTCGTGCTTCAATCTATTTGGGGAGTCACCACTCGTATGCAACACTGATCATTCTTTGCTTTGGTGTGGTGCTGAGGGTGCGTTTATTCTTCAAGGTAGACACACAAACATCAGGGTTTCAGGAGCCATCTTTTGTTGCACCCTGTTTGTTTGCTGCACCCAAGAACCGCTCTTGGCAGGTTTTGGATCCAGAGAGTACACATTCATCGCACATGTCGGCTGACGACCCATTGTTTGCAGCTTTACTCAAGGTGTAAAGTTGTTTGTGTTGTCCATCTTGTGATGGGAGATAGCTTGCCCTGCGATTCAACAGTTGCCTTGCATATTGTCCAAATGATATGCCTGGAATTTTTGAGGCCAGCAGCATCAGGTCGTTGAGCCGTGTCCACTCTTGCTGACAGTAGTTTGACAAGAGTTCCTTGCATCATCCATGTTCTGAATCGCTCTCTGGTGCTCGTTGCGTGATATTTTGGGTGCTGAGGCAGGGACATACCAGCTTGAGGGCGCAGTGTATGAAACTGTCCAAAGGCCGTTGTCTGAAACCACTGGACAAGATGGGCGGCTGTTGGTGCGGTCTCCGCATGAAGATGACCAAATAGACCGTGAGGCTGCCAGAGCTGCTCTTCTTCGGTACTACATCACTCTGTTGGACAGAGTCATGAGCGTCCACGTAACAACTGCTCAGCTTTCGGCAATGAGGCTGCTTGAGCAAGAACGTGGTGGCTTGGAGCTGTTTGTGCTTTGGCTCGTCACAGAAACTGTGGTATTCAGGTGCGTGTGTGTTTGTTTTGAGCATTTTGTCTGCAGTACTTCACAGCATGACCTTTATGGGTGGCTGATGCGATACTAATCTCAAGTGATTTGTTTCAATGCTGTTGCTGTGGGTTTGTGTTTTTGTCACATTGCGCTGGAGAAAGGGAAAGCATTGAGTTGGCCATTTTTGCTTGGAACAAGGGGTGCAACAGCTCAACACAGTTTCACTTGTTATGGTGAACACAGTGCTTGTGTCTGCCACGAAATTGTGCTCTTGGTTGTACATGCTCTGCTGAGTGCCTGCGATTGCTCCCCCTAGTCTATTTATGTGGGTTTGGCTGAACGGGCACTTTCCTAGACACGACTTTGTTGCTATCAATTGAAAGTGGTTGTTCGGTTGAGAGTGGGGGCCCAGCCCTTCAGATCTTTGTATCATCTTTTGGTTGGTATGCCAATGCCCTTCTCTGTTTGTGTACACAGGGCCATTCCCAGAGGCTCTGCGAACCAGATTGTAATACTGGCTTCAAGCCTGTGTGAAATGCTCGTTGAGCTTGGCATCCACTTTTTCTCCGCTTCCCAGAGGGCCACATTGTTGGACGCGGTGTTCAACCTCACGGAGCGGACCAGGACCCACCAGAACAGGATTCAGTGGTGTGATGCCAGGCTTGGCCTTGCCAGAGCACTCATTGCAAATTGCCAAGGCAGTGAGGCAGAGCATGTGCTGGATAACCTGAAGCAAGTGCTTGGGGAAGCGACAGTGGGAGATGAAGAGAAACATGTGCTTGGTGAGGTTTTGGTGTTGAAGGGAAAGATCAGGCACTTGGGTGGCAGGTTCAGGGAGGCTGAGCATTACTACATGGAAGGGCTAAAGGCCCAAAAGGAGGTACTTGGGGAGGAGAGCTTCCCAGTGAGCCGAACGCTGTCCCAATTGGGTCCAGTGCAGCAGGTACACAAGTGCAGAAAGGCTTTTGTGCTGGCAGTGCCACCCTCTGTTGATGTACTGTTCATACTGCTTTCAGAAGTTTGTCAAACGTGAGCGGGATACCAAGCTTTTGCAGTGAGTTATTGCCAAGGTTTTGATGGCACGTTGCGCTGGTGGGCACTGCAGGGCCTGCGTCGCTTTGCTGAGGCTGAGAACTCGTACAAGACAAGCCTGAAGATTCGAAAGAAACATCAAGATCGCAACGTGGTTGAGGTGACGATCGTCATGCACAATCTAGCATCTTTGAATCATCTGATGCGTAGACATGATGAGTCACTGAAACAGTACCAGAAAAGCTTGAAGTTGCGAGAGAAGTACCTGGGGCATGTGAATGTGGAGGTCGCTTCAAGTCTTGGCAGCTTGGCCGCTGTGAAGGTATGCCACGATTCGAGGCAGCTATGAGATGGAGTCTGCTGACTTTGTGGACTCACAGCATTGGCTCATTTTGCGCAGCAAAGTCCTGATCTTCCAGCACACTGGAGTAGTACATCTTGTCCTATCGGCAAGGCAGTCAAATCCACTGCTTGAATGTCCCTTCAGCTTCTTTTGATGACTGTGCCATACTTTGCACTTGAAGATCTCTTGCAATTCAGCTGCCTGCACTGCTGTCCCCAGCCTGCATGTAAGGGCCACGTTTCGAGTTGACACGGATTCCCTGCTTCACCTCCAATTCATTTATCTTTAATTCAATATGTCCCCTTCGATAGGTACGCTGCATGTCCTTTCTTGGGATAGCCCTGTGGAACTGTTTAGTGGTGCCTGTGATGAACATTGCCATGCTAATTCTGAATCTCAAGTTCATGAAGTATAAGCCAAGTTATTGCACTGAGGCACTGTGTGGCCTGGTTCATTGTGGCTTTGAAATGTCACAAGAACACCCATGCATGCAAATTGTGACATCAGCATTGGTGCGTGGTGTTCTAGCAGCAATTCAAGGTTCTGGGTATGTTGACATGCACACTGCCTAGCACTCATGGTCAAGTGCAGCCAGAGGCTCATGGCTCCTGCTGCAGCCTGCTATCCAAGCGATGAAGCTAGGAAAATGCTTCAAACCTGCGTGTTAACCTTTCCACGTGCAAGACAGGTTCACGATGGTACTGTTGCACAAGTTTCTCCAATCTTTAGTCCAGACTGTTCCAGTGGTATTTGGTTCTAGCTCATTCAGCAAAATGCTTGATCTCTGGCACAGGTGTCTATGGGGCAACTTGAGGAGGCTGAGGGCTTGTACAGGAGGGCCATTGCCATACTGAAGGAAATCCTGGGGGAAGATCATATGGCTGTGGCAGAGATGAGCACAAAACTGGCAGTGTTGCTGGAGAGTCATGGAGAGCAGGAAGAGGCCAGCATGTTGTATGTTGATGCCCTGGAGGTCAAGGAGCGGGTAATGACCGTCACACAAAATTGGAATTCTGGTCACAGCCTAATATCAATTTTGAGCCCCCTGCAGTAAGCAGCATAATCGTTTGCTGGGACAGGCCTCTGTGTCATTGGGCAGGATGACAACCTCGGCTGGCAAAATCATCAGGTCTTGCTCCAAATGACAAGCATCCTGGGCGAGCTGTTGTTTCCATGCTTCCCTTCACTTGTAGTAAACAGGCACAGGAGCTTGCATCCTGCTGCTTGCTTGCTTCCTGTCGTTGCTGTGCGTCTGGCAACTTCTGTGGTAAGGGTCTGTGTTTTCTTGCAGACGCTTGGGAGTTTCAACGACCAGGTCCTGAAGCTTGTTGGCCGTGTTATGCGAGTAATGGCCAAGACAGCAGGGGAAGCTGTCACAAACACGGCTGCTGTTGCTACTGAAAGTGTGACAGCATGGAGCGAGTATTTGGGACAGGCAGTGAAGGGGCCTCAGAGCAGCGATGGACTGCTTTCTCAAGATGGCCTCACCACCAAACAGTGGGAGTCATTGGCCCAGACTGCTTCTGCTGCGGATTTGTTTGTGACGGCAAGGTCTCTTTCAGCCGCTGTTGGTGAGTCTCCACAAAGCAGGGGGAGTATGAATGATGCAGTGAAGGCGATTCTGTCATCTTACAAATCTTCTTCAAATGGGACGGAGCTGGCAAGTGGGGCGGTGACTGACAGGGAGAACAGCAACACACGGCCTCAACACCCGAGCCGCTTGAGGACCAAGAGCACTCCACAGCACCCACCTCCACAAGAGCAAACACCACACGGGCAGGCCAAAGAGTCCCAGCACGAATTGCCTGCCTTGCGCCTCTCGCCGCCGCCATTGGCAGAGGGGAAGGCCACAGCAGTATTGGATTTGGACAAGGATCTGCATCATCAGGGGCTGTTGACTAACTGCAACGCAGGCGGTTTGAGTCCATCATCCTCGACGTCCATTTCCATCCCTCCATCCAGTGTTGCTCTGTCGCTCATGAGCCCATCCCGATACAATAGAGAGACTGGACAGCAAATGCAGGCAGAGACAAGAGACCCTGAGAACCCAGGCCCAGGGGAACCAGCTGCTGGGAAGCCAAGCCCTCGAGGATCCGACGGTTCCTCATCCCCACAGCCCAATCCGCCCCTGGAGATGCCATTGATCGATATTGTACCATGCAGGGAGGATGGCGAAGCTGAGAAAGGTCTGACTACCGAAAAGTCTCAAGTGCCCGAAGGACGAGCTGACTTTTTTGCCAAGGAGTTGTCAATGAAGCTGGGTGAGGTGGCGCAGGTGCTGAGTGCCAGAACAACTGATGGAAGGAAGGGTTTTGATGCCACGGTCGGCTATTCTACGCCTACAAAATCTGGAGCAACATCTGTTTGCACTGACAAAAGAAGTGGCAGGGGTGCAGGGGCGGTACCACTGGCGAAGGGGGATGCCCGTGACAAGCGCCCTATAGATGAGGCCTTGGCTGGCAAATTCTATGACAACAGGTGCGTCGTCTGGAATTTTGTGACCATCGTTATTGGTTCATCTCACTAGCTTGCATTGAATGAGATATGCTGATACTGCAAGTTCAAAATTACTGGTAGAGTGCATCCCAAGATTGATTTCCATCATGTGGACTCACCTTGGGGTTGTGGCTGCATCCCTGTACCATTGAAAACCCAGGGCTGTAGAGTCAGGAATGCTCATTTGCTCATTTGACAAGAAGATCCTCTGGCCAACTACACACACAAGGCTGAGTTGCCAAGTGGCTGTCTATGTGCCAGCCTTCGCACAGATGTTGTTCATCATTTTCGAGGCTAGATGGTCAGTGTGTCCCTTGTTAGTCCTTTGGCAGATTGAACTGCATAGTAGCTGTGAGGGTAAGGAACACACACTATTATGGTAAGGAGTGTGACTCAATGGCGACAGCAGTTGTGCAATGCGCCCGACCCTGTGCAGAGGTCACTTTGCACAGTTTGTTGCCCAGGGTCGCCGTCAGTGGGTCACAGATATTAGATTCAATCCCTTGATTGATCAACAGCTTGGTCATGCACAAGAGAGTGCACTGACACAAGGAATACAAGTGTGGCAAAGTCTTGGCTTCCCTGCAACATGGAAAGCCATCCAGTGGACTGTGGAGGGCAGCAGCATGAAGGCATTGCCTCCTCTGCCCTTTCCAAGATATGCTCTCTGAGAAGATATGTGCCGGCACGGTGCAACCACAATGCTCCCTGTAGGCTCGAAACCAATCAGACATTGCTACCATTGTGCATCGAGGCCAGGATTTGTGACCACTTTTGCAGTAATGGCAAGGATGTGGGGCTGCACAGGTGCAGCCGTGGTGTGCTGCCTATTCCAGAGCAACTTTGAGGCTGCCCTGTTGCGTGCTTTCACCCAGACGATTTGGTCGAATTATTTTCACCTTGAAACGGGTCAACCACGAGGCAGCATATGTGCGATAGGCGGCTCGATTTATGTGTGTCTGTAAATTGCGCTGAACATGGGTATTGTTGGTCTGATGATGGTGCAGTGCGTTCCTCACCATGACAGTGGAGCAGGACCTGATGGAGTCCACCAACCTTGCACCAGAGCATATTGACGCACTGCAGAGTATCGTGAATCCGCTGTACCGAATGGAGGTGGATGCAGTGACTCCAGACAGCGAAGCAATGCCTGCTGCACTGGTGACAACGCATGCAAGCTTTGATTTGTGACGGCACCTGCCTCCCTTGGGAGCTGCCATCGCTCAATGCATAACGCTGTGTTCAGCGGTAGAGTTATGGGATGCACCTCTGGGAGCATGAGGTATGATTTTTGAGACGGCGTCCAATGCTTGTGTTTTGGTGCACGCGGTGAACGAGATTGGCAGACGGCTCGACACCTGGTCGGAAGGGGGGCAGATGCCACTGGCAAAGTCGTTCGACCGCCACTGGTGAAGCTGCAACTGCATGTCAGACGGGATGCCGTGCTGTTCAGTCACGTGCCACATAAGTCTGCTGAGGCACTGGGGTTGCGGTTTTGGGGGGTGCCAAGGGTCCTGTCTTAGCACGAACTGATGAGAAGATAATGAACTCTTTGGCGGTGATGACCACAAACGACAATGGAATGAGAGTCTCGGAGCACCTCTCCTATGCACGCCAAGAGCTGGTGCTCGCCATTTTGTTACCAGCATGACATGCAGAAGCCTACGAGAAGAAAAGCACCCAGAAGGGCGGCGAAAAGTTACAAGTGTAGGTCTAATTTGACGTAGTCGTTTGGGAGAGAGACAGCCCATCTCCCTCTTAGAGCTCCCTCTTCTGGCGTGCCGTGTGCTAACGAACATTGAAGGGAACCTCGAACCACACAGTACTGCTGTTCCTAATCGAGAATGCAGGCTGGGCCGATGGCTGCAATGGCAGGTAGCACAGGATGGCGGTGTCGCTGGCTGTGCCTGGGCCACCCACGGATGGAGGGGTCTGAAGGAGTGGGTCACGGCCTGGGAATTCGGTCGTGCTTAGCTAGAGCGGCTGGGATGTTGGAATGCGCAATGAATTCATTTACATGGTGGTTGTTGCAAGGCGGAGGTGGTGCTTCATGCAGAGGGCGGGAGGCGAAATCTGCACTTGTCAGGCGGCGGGTGGGACCTGTTCAGGCGGGGAGTGTGGGCACTGCGTTAGTGCTTCGCAGGCAACGAGGTTGAAACGTGGAAGCGCGACAGGAACTGTATAATTTATGTGTCGGACAAAGGGCGACGTCAGCGTTGTCATCTTTTGTGCGATTTCTTCAGCCCAGCGGGTACACACTTGCATGAATGGCTTTGGCCATGATATGCACACAGTTCTTACATATAACTCTTGCATACAGTTCTCACTTCTTTTTGTGACGTGATGTTGTTAGAATTTTACTTATGGAGACAGTTGATGCGATACTGGAATCGAATGGTGGAACGTCCCAACTCTCTGCTTCATGGCGCCATTTTCAAGTCCGGGTTTCAACAATTCTCAATCAATCCTCGATCGTGGTATGGACGCATCATTGCCTTTTTCCGTCGATTCTGGCCTGATCTCAGTTCAACGGAGGCTACACAGGTTGATGTACAGTCTTTTCAACGGATCTACAAACACGTCCACATTGCCAGCGTCTTCTCCAACCAATCTTCAAGGATTCAGCGATGGTACAGACGCATCAAGTCAGTCCACCGATATGAACGGTTCTCGACGTCGTTACAACTTATATCCTTGAGGATGTTTTGCCTGCGATTTCGTTGTGGGGTCCGATTTCTGGAAGCTGATCAACAACGACGCCAAATGCGACAATCTATTCCAGAATTTGCAAGGTGATTTTGTCCTTTATGTCACTTGGCTCCATAAGACGAGACCCATTGTCTCTTCCACTGCCAGGCCTGTTGGCACACGTAGAAGCCACTCTTGAATTTTTCAATGTCGCAATGCAAGAACACTTTTTGCTTCAGTTCCTGCTCGCCAACTGGCGAGGACATTTCTTTTGATGTGTTATCATCGACAATCGCTTCTAGGCGTCAGGGGTTAATAGACTTACGGATTTTGTTTGCGTTTAACATTAGATTTCAATGGATTCATCGTAGACGCGGTTTTATTTGGGCAAAATAGGAAGCTGACGGCTACCTCATTGCCTTGTTCTGTAAAAAATTATGATGACGATGATGACGTCGATGTCTCGAGCTGCACCATGGAAAACTCGATAGAGGATTGTCGTTGTGTGGCCTGTTGCCGCTGCAGTCGTATGTATCCACCTTGATGTTTACTGTCGTGCATATTTCTCTGAAGTACGACACCACCTGCATTTATCCATCAGAGGCAGTGTCTATGACGCAACGCCAAGAACGCTTCAGGCAGGCAGCGATCCCTGTACATCGTGATTGTATCATCACGTGCTGGTTTGCAGATTTGTTTTGATGGCTCAGATGGCATTGAAGCTGCGCCGCTGCAATGCACATTGTGCAGCACATGCTTGTGCAGCAAAAGCTCATGAACTTCACTGTTCTTACGGAATTGTACATCGTCAACAGCCCAGTTTGCCCCCGTCATATGATGACCACGCTGGTGTGCCATTGGCCGATTGGCTTGCAGCAAAACGGTCAATGGCACACCAGCGTGGTCGCCGTTTGAGGCGATGATACAGATGGCGCATCCTGCGTTCAATGTCCTCGCCAAGCCCAGCCAGTGCGGCTGCAAGGCTCCAATTCCGGGGTCCAATTCCGGGGTGTTTTTCCCCGTTTTTCACTGGAAGGAACAAAATTTTACTTATATGAAAGCAGTCATGTCTTGGGTTCCAACGCTTTTGCTCTTCTTTGGCCCGGGTCTGCGTGCAGATGGTTTGCGAATGGACAACGTGAGCGGATGGGCGACAAAATAGCGTACAGTGGGGTAACCTCTTTAAGGCCGCCCTGAATAAGGCCAAACGGTCAATAACGCCGGTCAAAATCGGCCATATCCGGTGGCACGACCTAAAGTACTAGAAAGACGTGGTCACAAGCAGTTTGAGCGCGTGGGGGCCGCCGCCATGCCTTGCCTCGAAGGTAAGAAGTGCAGACTGCCCCACGACACCCAAGACCGCTGATGAATGCCCAGCATATTTCTGTGTGAAGAACACATTCGTAAAAACTGAAAATTTCGAAATATTGCCGTGTGTTCATGGAAAGCACAGTACATAGCGTCGGATGGTAGTTGGCGTCCGCTTTTTTTGGATGTTATGCGTCCGCTTCCCTCGGCTTTCGCAGTGCTTGTAATATTACATCGCAGTACTGCGCCTGAGGATCACCATTACGGGGCATCACAGTTGATTTGCACCTTATGTCCCGCCATTAAATCTGTTCATTTGAAGTGGTGCATACTTTGGTGCTCATCCCCATTGCACGCAATGGAGAAAGGCTGAGCGAGACTGTTCGATGGTCTCCAACACTGTTTGCCCCGCAGGCGCAAAGTACCAATGGGCGATGCGCGCTGTTGTTGCGCCAGGTGGTCTGCCATGAGGAAAAGTGTTGCAGGCCAGGAGCACGATGGAAACAAGCTGAGATGGGCTTTTTGAGGTGAACTGGACACACCTGTGGAAACCAACAACAAATTGCTCACAAAACACACTATGTGCTGTGCAGTTTGTTCGAGCTACCCCCCCTTCATCCATTTCAGCGCGCTGCAAGCGCGACAATGTCATTCCATAACCGTTGCGAGTCAACTGTGCGGGAGGGGAACGGGCACAAGTGATTCGCAGCGAAGTTGACATGGAGGTGGCCGAAAGAGCAAGTCTAATGCCCATGCCAAGGTTTGTTTCACCTTTGGTTCGAAGATGTGATAGTGTGCACCAACGAACGAGTAGTGCTCGTTCGTTTGTGCACACGATCACACCCTGGAATCCTCGGAACATATTAAATATGTTCTAAATCGGCGCCGGTCACTTGCTTGATACGTTGATCAAACGAAGAGTGAAACGTTTTTGCCCTGCCGGTGTCTTTTGGGACAAGGGGGCATGGAGCGCTACCACGAATCAGTCAGCGTCTACAATTTGGGGCATTTTTGGCCCACGTGGCTTCCCCTCCATCGAAAACTGTCGTTTGGCCCCACGTCTCTCTTCACCATCCGGCCTGTGCTGCATTTCGAGCGGCATCCACCCAACAGTCCTCCATCTACCCAGCAACACATGCCAACGACCGCTGGCAATTTCGCCGCGGCTCCACTGCACAGTTTCTTGCTCGACCAGCCGGGGAACGTTTCTCCGGCTGGGGGCCGTGCGCGCATTCCTGTGGCTCAGGAGAGAACTGGCGCCGAAACGCTGAAGCGGACATGCACACTACACATCCCTGGTGATGGCAATCCAAAGGCCAACCTGAGCTTCCAATCCCTCTTATGCAATCCTCGTATTGGCACTGATTCCCGTAACTGTCACAAGTGAGTAACCCAGCTCAGCAGTACTCTTGTGGGGTCGCCTCAACAACGTCAGCAGCCACAGTGCCGGGGCCTGTGACCCACACCCCAGATCCTGTCAATGCCCGGCCTGGTCAGACTTGAAGGATGGCAACGCCACACTAGCTGCCACGCTGGTGGCAGCCTCCCGAGACGCGCCCCGTTCACTCCAGGGTGACGTCCCAAGACGACTCTGGCGGCAGTGCCCGCCACCCACTCCCGTCGGTGCAGCCCTGCCGGCAAAGGCGGCGCGAGAGTCAGGGGGGTGCCTTGAAGATTGGTCACAACGAGTGTGGTGCTGGAAGTGCTGCCATGCCGGGCGCTGATGTGTTGGGCTGCGGGTCAGAGACCGCATGGACGATGTTCTCGCGCTCGCTGCAGCCGACCCAGCCAGCCACGGCATCTGCGCGACGAGCGCCGCTGCAATGCCTGGAGCGAGGTCACAAATTGCCGCCGAATCTGGGTGTGCTCTGGCGGGAGTGGGCTTGACCGCATCGCCCAACTGGCGGCCCAGGCGCCTTTGCCATCACCCAGGTGGTGGCACCACGGCGTGGGCGGGGGCCCAACGCCGTGCGGAGGTGCAAGAGCGCAGCGGGGGGGGGGGACGGCGCTGCCAGGGTTGCGCCTGACGGCTGCCCAGCGGCCTCCCCCGTTTGCCGCGGGGTGGGCAGACCGCCCGTGACTAAAGTACGTGCGGGCGTGTCCGACGCACAACGTGTGACGGGGCCCGGCAGTGGCCCGCCAAAACGCTTTGACGGGGGGCTCAATTCCGATGGCCCTTAGCGCGCCGCAGGCCGCACGTTCTGGTGGATTGGAGGAGCCGGCGGACGGGTGGGAGAGGGTGGAGCCCGGGCGGTGCTGCAGCGGCCTCGCTCAGTCGGAGTGGCGGCTACCCGCAACTTGGCAGACGACGCGGGATCTACATTTTGTCCTTTGGTGCTCCGGTGGGGCCTTCCAGTGAGGTCCGGTAGCGGAGGGGTGGCTTATCGGAGGGCAGGCGGGGTGCGTACCTGCCGGTGCTGAGGCGTCCAAGGTTTCCGGCTTAGTGTGCCTAAGAGCGGGGTAGGCGCGCGAGGTGGCCGCCCGCGGGGTGCGCGCTTGGCGGCGAGGAGGCGCACAGGAGCACCGCGCCCCGAGGCCCGGGGAGGCAGAGGCGACACCGCCCGGAGGTAGATCCCGCGGCGGGGCCGGGAGGCAGGCATGGCGCCGGCGGACGCGTCCCAGGACGCCGGGCGAGGGAACGAGGGGGGGCGGGAGAAAGAGCCGAAGGCCGCGTCCAAGACGCCCGAAGCCCAGGCGAGGTAGGAGCGGCATGCAGGACATCCACTCAACGCGCCGCCCGCCTCGAGTTTGGCAATCGCGGCGAATCGGCCGCACGCGCTGGGGTCCCTTGTGGACCGTTCCCCCCCACACCACCACCACCGCCCCACCCTTTGCCGCCCTTGATAGCTGGGAGTGTTTTTTCCGTACCACTGAGGTTGGCTGTCGCCGCTCAGCGCCTGTACATCTGCGGCCGCAGGCGGCCCGGCGGCACAGCCTTCGCATCGGCCTTCGCGTCGCAGGCCTTCGACGGCGAGGGGGACGCGGACCCCGCCGGCGCAGAGTCCATGGCCGCCCGGGAGAAAGACGCAACCCCGGCGGAGGGCGGCAAGCCGGCAGCCGGCAAGCCGCTGGCCAGAGCGTCCGGAGGGGCGGCGCGCGCGAGCGTGTTCGCCGACTTTGCGGGTAAGTCCCCACCGCCGCCTTGCGGCCGTCCCCTATCGGCCCGCGCTGTTGGATCACGGGTCGCCCCCTGGCCGCCCGTGGGCCCTGGAGTCGGGGACGGGCCGAGCGGCCCTTGGGCGGGGCGGTTGCCCGCTCCCTCCCGGCGCGGTTGCCCGCTGTGGACGGGGAGGATCGTGGGCTTGCGCCGGAGTTGTGTGTGCCTGTTCGCTCACCCCCCCGCTTGTGGCGTGCCATGTCAAGGGACCTCGTATGACCGTTATGAGGCCACCTGTCCCGATCATCTGGGGGTTGGCCTGTGCGAGGGGACCCCTACCCGAGTGTGTGCGACCCTGGCGCTGGGTTGGTGGTTGGTGTTCCTTCTCGGCTGCTGGATCGTCGGGGGCCATAGATACTGACGCGAAGACTCGCGCGACCGAGATCGCTGTATGGCGGAACTTTTCAAGTTTGTGATGTCTGAGCGTGGCGTTGTCATGGTTTTCAGACGAAGGAGGACAAGGGAACAAGGAGGCCGAATCGCCCGAAAGCCCCACAAGGACGCCCATCGACCTCAGCCAGGCGGGCTCGATGATGCACAGGCTGATGGAGAAAGATGTGAGCAAGAAATCTTGTGATGGGCTGTTGTTCTTCCTAGCAGTTGACAACAATAATTTGCCAGTCGTGAACTGTCGCTGTGTGGCAGGGAAAAGCACTGCCTTGCCTCCTCAAGCATGTCACGAAAAGACCCGACAAAAGTGGCTGGCTGTTACACTCTGGGCTGTGCTGATGGTGCATGTAACGTTTGGGCAGAGAAACGACATCGATCCTCGGGACGTTCACAAGCTTCTGCCGGGGCAGCTGCTTTCATCAGCAAGCCTGGATCTGAATGTTGACCTTCTGCAGAAAGCAATTGCGATTGCAGCACAAACGGAGTTGCAGCGGGAGCAGGGCAGCCGACCAAGCAGTGCTGCTGGAAAGGGGAATGGGCAGGACGGTGACGATGGCGGTGATCAAGATGGTAGGTGTTTAATTCAGCAGCTTTCCAACTGTTTCCAGAAAGGGATTTTTTTCGCCTTTTTTTTCGCCTCCCAAATGCATAAGATTGTTTCCTTTGCTCCACACGTGGTGGAGGGTAGTGGGGGGCCTTATGTATGGGCTGGGAATAATGGCCCTTTTGGCAGTGCAGAGGATGCCTGAAGGGGAGGCATGGGAATCTAAGAATCCCTGGACATGTGCTGTTGTCAGGCTGCATGTAGCCACATGATAGCTGTGTTTCAGATGTGGGTTGTAGCAATGATCCTGTGTACTGAGCACAGCCTTCCGGCCAACTGTCAGCTCTCTGCTGCCCTGTGTCCACCTGTTTAAAATTTCATTTTCTCATCCCACCAAAAGGCAAAGCATTGGAAGATGCAGTTCTTGCACTAAACTGCAGTGCCAGTCCTTTGTCATCATGGATTCTTCCTGTGTGGGCCTGCAGAATGACCCGGTTTGTGCTGTCAGCAGCTGATGGCGCTGAACCTGTGAGCCCTGCAAGCGCACCGTCTTTTGAGGCTGGCCAACTGGTGCAGAACAGTCCAAGGCCACCATCGCCGCCCCGGGCACGTTCACGCAGTGCCCGCAGGGACGCTGTATCCCCACTGCCTCCTCCACACAGGATGAGCCCCATCCCTGGCTGGCCATCACCACCGCCCCACATGGTCCACCACATCAGCCCTGCCCTTGGCATGCCGCCCCTTGGCGGGAGGGCGGTGACGCCTACAGGCGTGTACATGGACCAGAGGCTGCCACCCCCCATGCCTGTGCCAGCCAGTGGGCCATATGCCATGATGAGCAACCCCCCAGCTGTGTCGATGCCAGGGATGGCCCTTCCTTGGGGTGCTTATCCCCCGCCACAGATGCAGATGCCCAAGTACGGGATGCCAGGCATGTTGCCGCCTCCAGTGCACCCAGTCCCCCTGGAGGGCATGCCTGCAGCTGCAAGGCCGCCAAAGCCTGTGAGAGTGCCAATGTGTGCTCCGATGCCCAATTCTGGAGGCTCGCCACCCCCCATGCTGCATGGGAGGGCGAGCTTGCCAAACGAGTTGCCAAGAGCCACAACTCCCCTGGGTGTGAGAGCCCGCAGTGCAACGCCTGAACTTGGTGGCAGCGGCTCACCGCTTGATGGCAAGGACAAGAATGCGAGAAGGTTCCGCTCTGTGGAAGCAGCCCTTGCTTGGTGCCATGTGCAGCACTCCCAGAAGCAGGTGCCTGTTGTGCCAAAAGAGGATGTGAAAAGGCTGGTGGAGTTTCAGCTCAGCTCTGGGAAGCCCATTCGTGCTCCTTGGTATCGCCCGCAGAAAGATGAGGATGAAGAGAACGAAGAAAACGAACACGAGTTTATGCCTCCAAGGGAGGTGCATCAGGATGTGAGTGAGCTCCTGTCTCCTGTCGCCACGTGAAAGCCTAGGATCCAAACGTTGTTGGCAGTGCTCTGCTGCTGTGTGCATTGAAGTACCTGTATCCTCCTCTGTTGGACAGTTTCTGCTGATGTTGCCTCAGAAGTGCTGCAGTGTTAATGCGAGATATTGTGGCTGCAATGCAGATAATCGAACCACAAGAGCAGGTAGAAGGGCCGCCAGCAAGCCCAGGGAGGTCACCAAAGCAAGGGGTGGGTGCCATGGCAGAGCTGCCAAATAATGATGAGCAGGACATGGCAGCAGAGCAGCCTATGATGAAGGGTTCCAGACCCCCAGTCGCTGCAAAAGCATCTCCAAACCGGGTGCCCCAATGCCCCGCTGGCAGGATGTCAGGGGTACCGGCATTGCAGCAGTTGGCGTCTTCGCCTCCAGGAGAGGCTCCAGGGCAGTCAACAAGCCCAAACAGGAGGAACCAAGCGATGGCAGACTCTGTGCATGCGCACTTGCCGCCTGCCCATATGATGACACCACCACCAGCGATGAGGTTCACGCCGGCCCCGCCCCTCTACAGGTCCACAAGCAGCCCCGCGGGGCACATGGCAGGGTATACACACAGTGCAAACCGCACTGGAGCGCATGGTGGGAATGGGGCTCCAATGGGCAGGCCACACTCTGGGGGCCACGGCACAGGGTTCTTTGTTCCTGCTGGCATGCCAGCTTAGGGCCGCCAGTGCAATGTGGAGCAGCAGGTATGGGTATGGGCAGTGGTGGTTGGGAAAGGGGAGACACTGTAGTGCATGAGCAATATTGTTGCGGTGGGTCTCTCCGGATTCTGGATGCAAGCCTGCTCCCCGTTTGCTGGTCCGCAGAACATTCGCGCATGTGAAGCAGTAGCACGACGGCCAAGGACAGCTTGTGGGAATCAGCAGAGGTTTGCTTCTCAATCACTTAGTTTGCGGCACCTAGGGGGCAGTTTTTGGACAGGATAATCGTGTTGAGTTGGCCGGGCAGAGGAACAGGCGGGGTTGAGGCTTGGGGGCATCACATAAAGCGCCATCAGGGCCTGGCATTGCATGGCAAATTGGTTGATTTGGTGCCATACTGATAATCCTCTCAACTTTCGACAAGGGAAGGATGGATGGATGGGGCCATAAACTTTGGGCATAAATGGATGGCCTGAGAATGGAGGATTGGCTGGCCCTCTATGGGGCAGCGCTCCTAACTTCTCCAGGGAGTGCATATGGATAAGGGTGTGCAGTTCTGCACACACGCACACGCACACACATTGCAGTTCCTGCACAACAAGGCGGGAACGCTTGTACGTCTTCTGTACACCTCTCACATGGTGCTGTGGGCAAAACGGGACGTGTTGGTGTGCCTGTAGCATGTGCTTGGGATCACACTGAGACAAGATGACAACACTGTCGCCCATTGGGTTGTTGCCCCCTGGACTTGATTGCTTTTTTCTCGATCGGGTGTTTGTGTACTGGCAAAATTTTTTGGGCAAGGAACTTGGGCTTGTTGACGTGACTGGCATGAATAGCATATGTCTTGTCTATCGATAGTATAAATCCAGTGCAGGTCGCGAATAAATGGGGTGGGGTGGTTGGCGAGGTTCCCTTTTTCAGCCTCCTAAGGTGTAGCCCGCTTGTCAGGAATCGCTGTTGTATCAATACACTTGGCGCTGAGGGACATCTCGAGGTGTACATACAGCTTGTGCTGTGCGCATCCACCATCATTCGGTTGTTGGGGAGGCGTGGTGGCCATGGTTGACTGATTGCTCAGGCACGCCACATGGCCCGTGGCGAGGCCACAGTAGGGGGAGTGTGACAGCGCTTGCTGTCGTTTTTTGGGTGCACATTTTCTGGCTGCGCGTAGTTGGGCCAAAATAAAACCTGCTAGGTACAGAAGGGACACATTGAGGACATCTCCTTGCTCGAGTCTCCTATGTGGGGAGGGGTGTGGAAGGGGGAATGGTGTGCTACCTGGATTGGTGATGTAAAGGTGTAGGTTCATCTTACAGTGCGTGCACAAGCTGCATTGCAACAGCACTTCTGCATCCCACATCAGCATCGTTGCCCAGCAAAATCGGGTCCCTCCCTGCATGCATGGAGCAAGCATGAGGGGCATTGGTGTGCCTGCAGTGCTCAAGTGGCTGCCGAACGAGCGGAGCCGGTGTCAGGGCTGCTTGATTGAAACCTTGGTTGAAACCTCGCCGAAGTGTGGGTTGAATCCTAGCCAATGGATGGGAACATGCACAACCCTGCCGAGGGACTCCTTGCCTTGCGGCACTTTGCCAAGGAGCGGTGGGTGTCCAAGGCAATATAATGCTGCTGGGCGGCCCGATAGCAAAGTCCAGAAACGCGACTCGGGCAGCATCTCCTGACGGACGCGCTCACACAGCGGGATGGCAGTGCCCACAACTTGCGCAGAACGACGCCACGTCAGCATCACCTGGAAGCTGTGCCGCTGACGCACCTTGCCACAATGTACGACAAGATTCGGACGCCTCCACGCGCACCAGGAAAGCATCTAACGGCGATGCTCGAATGCACACAGCAACGCGTGCATCAGTCGTCCTGCGAGCGAGGCAGCACAGCGACAGCACATTACAGTCCACCCCTGGCTGTTGGCATGTTTATGCCAGCTTGATCAGGTTCCTCTGCACCCTCTTCACCCGCCGAACAGTCAAAGACACGCGTTCCCCAACTCTGGGCAGACGCATTCCAGTCTCCATGCCGCACACGGCAAGATTGCAAATTGACGGATCCAGCCTGTCCTCGACAACCTGTTGGCCGCGGCGACACACCACAGCACAGAGCAGGCTAATCAATGCATCATTGCATTGCAAAGCGCGTCAAGCAGGATTCACAGCTACTTCGCACCAGAGCACGGCATTCACCCCTGCAGCTCTTGCAGCACCTGCGAGGTACCGCTGCCGTCAAAACGGCGACCTCGCTGTGATCCAAAAGCTGACCTCCAGAAAATACGCTTTGCTTGCGACAGCTTATCGCAAGCACACTGCCAACTGGGCATATCATCAATGCCCCAACAATTGCATGGAAACGCAGAGACAAACATGGCCGTGTGCGTGCCGTGTACACATATGCAGGGAATTTCACAGCAGCAACAGACAGGAAACGGGCAATGGGGTAATGGAGAGCACAGCCAGCGCCCCAAAAGTCATTCAGCACCGCCTTTCTGTACTCGCAACTTCCTTGGGCAGCTAAACGAGCTGGGCTGGCGGCTGACAGCCCCGCACCTCATCAATCCCATGGAGGCAGTCCGCGTATGCATCGTCCAGAAACACGAGCAAACTTCGGGGCATCAGCAGGACAGACATTTCGGGGTCGAGTGACCGTGAACCTCCTAAAGGCGCCACAACCAGCCAATAAGCCCAGAGACTGTCCACACAGCCTGTCATAACTGCAAGTCCACAGCGTGCGGTAATGCTCTTCTGAATGCCTTGGCTTCATCTGCTTCGCAGCGTTAACACAGCGCCGTTGGACAGCGATGGCGATGGTGTGCATGTATGTATCCGAAACGCTTGTTTTTGAGCTGACAACAGGCTTTGTTGGTTTCAAGGCATGAGGCGATCGGCATGTCCGCTGCATCACAAGGTTTCATACAATGTGCCTGGAAGCGGGTTTTCCAAACTGCAATTTTACAACAGCATGCCGCCTGCGATCCAATCCATGATAGCAAGTAGTTGGAGCAATCGCCCTCTGCGTTGCAGAAGGTGAAGATTCAAGGACACCAGTCTTAAACACAGATGTGCTCGACGTCCATTCAGTGACCGTGGTGCTGTTCAACGCACACACACAGCACACCTACAGTACAGTTGCTCCAAACCCTGACAATGACGGAATTTAAGTGCATCATTCATGAGCACTGTGTCCAGTAGTTCAGTTTTCGCTGCCCGAACAGAATACAGTCATTCCGAACATTTGGAAGAAGGCTTCACATTCTGTTCGCATTTGCCAGCGATTCTTCGTCCGAATCGGCACCTTTCACTTCATTGTGGCCTCGTATGCTCTTGCGCCCTATGTCTCGTTAACAAACTCCATGAGACAAGAACGGGGGGGAGCAAACGGGACGGTGTAGGGATAGGAGTATTCCATTCTGCATGCTTTCAACGAGATCAGATCACACAGCTCACCAGGCGCCTCCTTTCTCCAGAAATTCAGAACCGTTGAAGCACCAAGCGACAGTATGCAAACGCCAGGATGATAAACTGGCCCGTCCTCATGAGCCTAACGAGCGAAACTCAACCTTCAGCATGCTGGCAAGCTTTTGCGTATGCAAGAGAACAGCGTTGCTGATTGCAGCAACAGCGTGCTCACCAGGATTCCCTGCCCAGGCATGTAGGCATTTACAAGCACGTGGTTGGGTGGTGTTCCACCGAATGCAGACGTTTCCCTGTGCATCCGCATTGCTAGAACACTCAACCAGTTCGGCAATGGCACTTGCAGCAGCCCATTCCTGTGAATCACACCTCCGTGGTATTGGCTCCTTCGTCCATTAAGCTGACACAACACCAGTGCCACACTTTCAGCAGCACAAGCAGTGCCATCGCACAACAAACAAAAGGATGCCTCGAGCAGCTGGCAAGCATATGTGCATGCAGAGCGCAGTGAGCCCAAGCAGTTGCAAACAAGCTCATTTGCTAATGGATCACCATTATCACAGCAGATCACAACAAACTGGCAGAACATTGTGGGGTAGAGTGGCATTGTGCCACGCACGGTCCACAGCGTTCCAGTACCAGCTGTGTTGGGAAATCTCATGATTAGTAAAGCGTGCACAGAAACTACGACATTTCATGGTATCAGTTCTTGCAGGACACCTCATTTCCTCCGATCTGTGAATATAGCACCTGTACACATTTGTCATGCAAAGAGTATTGACATCACCATATGATTCCAGGAACAGGGCAATGCGCACCTTTCTGCCTTGTGGTGGCAATTTAAGATGACAGGCAACTTTGAGGGAATGTCCAACCGGGTGTGGAGAGAAACTCTTAGAGCCACTGAATAATCAACCATTGGGAATGGAGCAAATGCCTTTGGCATTACCTGGAGTGTCCATAGATCACTAACCTTTGCCAGCTTTGGATGTGCAGGTGCAGTTGCTCAAGGAGGAACTGAGGAAATGCTCCTGGGCTTTTCGAACTGAAGTTCTCCATTTCGACACATACTTTGACTGTGGCTGACTGTTGCTTCTGATGGACAGGCATTTGTGCCACACAATGCAGCCACCTTTGGTATGCATTCTTGCTTGTAAGGGCCATCCATCTACATGACTGGAATCGAACATTATTCATTGCTCCACACTGTCTTTCACAGGAAATGATTGTCAGACCTTCCTTTGGCGCAGAATAGGGGTGGTGGGCAGGTGGCATTGGTACTTGTTTTGAGACTCGTTGTGTACTCAGACAAAAGAAACACCTGAAACATGGTTGTAGGACGAGGCGGGGAATCGGAATTCATTTAACAATTCCCCTGGCAACTGCCCCTTTCACTGCAGCCTGAGTGATCCCCAAACACTAGCAAATGCACAATGAGGGTCAATATGCAGTTGGGTCTATGACCCTGCCACACAATGCAATCGCCAAAAGCAACTGATGACACAGAAGATGTGGGAGTGGGCGATGTCTTGAAATTGAATTTGTAACCCGCTCGGCATGCAGCTCTGCATACCGCTTGGCATCAATCCTGCTGCTTGCACCCGTTGTGAGGGCCAGAGACATTCTTACTTATCCAAACATTATGCACTCCAGCCACGGATGTTGTACACGTTCAACTCTCCAGAAGGATTCGTTTTCCAGCAGCCTTGAACAGACACTGGCTGGACGTTGCTCTGCCCATCATCACCTTTCAAGTGCATGTATGCAGTCTGTGCTTTGTTTTTGGAAACATGCTCCGCAGATTATACCAAGCAGCCCCGAATACTTGTTGCAGGCCGGTCTCCTGCACCACCTCGCTCGGGGGACAGAATTCGTTCCCCTCATCGCCTTGTCCAGACGTTCTCTGATTCCTTTCTGGCCAAAAATGGGACACACACAATGGCGCACTGCCCATACCAAACAAACCTGGGAATCTCCCTGTTGTGCGGCTGCCCAGGCCGCTGGGTTCTAAGCGAGAGGCCTGCGGGGGAAGCCTAATAGCAGGCCCCTCCCATCTCGTTAACCTGTGCCCACTTGGCTTTGGAGCTGTGTATCTCCTCGAGCAAGCGATGCTCATTGTCGACAGTCACGTAGTCCGGCAAATAAAACACGGAACGAAGGCTCCCCGTCACGTACTTATGCAACGGGGCGTCCAACGAGGACTGGCGACCCCAGTCCTCCATGGCAACCAGGACAGCGACGGGCAGCCCGTTGTCTTTGGCAGTGGTGGGAGGCGGGGCCCTGCCCGCAGTTCCTGTTTAAGTACTAAGAGCATCTTTATCGGTCGGTGCTATTGTTCCGGCGGAGCTATTCGGCTATCTGAATAGCTCCGCACGTGTAAAAAACCATCATTAACGGTTGGGGAGCAATAACTCCCCGATAGCTCCCCCGGAGCTATTCGGCGCCCAGCGGCGCTATTTTGGCCCCGAATAGCTCCGCTCGAGACCGAATAGCTCCCCAGAATAGCACCGGTGCTATTCGCGCAGAACATTGTAGTGCTGCCGTGACGCTATTCAGCGTAGGCATAGCACCCACCATTGCGGATGCCCCCAGGGGAGCAGTAGCACCGGCGCTATTCGGCAAATGCCGCCTTAGTAAGGTGCAGCGGCAGCCAATGAGAACCGTTCCAGGATAACTCCGCCGGTGCAATAGCACCGACCGATAAAAATGCTCTAAGGCGATCTCAATTGTTCTGTGCAACAGCAGAAATTTCTGCACATTGGTCTCAGCCCTCGTCTTTCTTGTCACCTTGCCTTCCCAACGCGGCGCCATGTCTTTGTCCACTCCCTGCAGCCCCTCGGGATGAATTGTTTGAATCATTAGTAAATGGTACCCAACTTGTGCAACTTGAAGTACATGTTTGATGACTTGCATGACAAGTTTTAGCCAAACTGATGCAAGATGCAGGGTGTCGCACCTGCAGCTCAATCAGCGGAGGTCGTTTGTGGACGCATTGTTAGCCCCGCAAGGTTCTGTGCACGCTTAATAGGCACACATGCGCAGTTGACTTCGCAAGAATGTTCTTCAAGGGGATCATTCGGGCAATCAAGAAATACCTTAACGTTGTAAATCGCAACCATCGTTTGGTATTCGTCTTGCCGTCAAAGGGCCATTTTGATGTGACTGTGCAATGCTAAACCAAACAGATGACCGGGTAGGGGCGCGGTTAAGAAGCCAAAGGTGCGTGCAAGACAATCAAACGCACGTGGCGCCTTGCGTCATTGGCCATCCGATGATAGAGTCCATCGACGAAAGACTTCTACTGACTTCACTTGGCAGGCTAGCGTACAAGCAAGCAAGAATATATCCCTTGATCTGCGCTCACGTTTCCTTAGCAATACCGCCGATGCATGGCCTAACTGATGCACATAGAATAGCACTTTGCCATGAGCCAATAGACATGGACAGCGATCCTGGCGCTGGTACGGTAATCAACGAGCTTCCAGCGGCATGTGAGCATTCTGGTGATGTTCTCGAGATATTTCATTCTCACAAAATTCTCTTAAGGCATCATGGTGGGGTGCCATGCCGGGATAGACACAACATGTGGCGGATTTTGGGAACCCTTGCTGGTCAACCTTGGGCGTTTAGATATGTACCGTGGCTCTTGAAGGCGCTTCTTCTTCAGCAGTTTACCCAATCAGCGTCGTCCAATTTGGTTTCTCTTGGCATGGCGTCTGGAGGGTTTGCAGGGGCAGCAGAACAGGCTGCCTGGCCTAGGAGTGTGGCGTCAAGGTACCCCTAATGACGGATTCAGAGGCCACGTGGAAACACCAGCGTTAGATAGGAACCGGCGTTAGACATTTTTTTCTTTCCGGTGCGTTCCTCCCGTAACTGCACTCTTTCCCATTGCTCCTGCTGGGAAGCTGCAAAGAACCTCTGGCTGTGGGTCTGTGGCTTGCGCGGCGAACTGCGTCGACCTTGTGCTTCGAATCGACCCAGCCAGGAACATGCCTGCTTCGCAGCGAAAACGGGCATATCCTTTTGCCACTGACTTGTGTCATCAATTTGTGAACGTCGCCACGAGCCCGATGCCCAGTTTGCCATTCCAAAGTCGATAGATCGCAGATATCCATGTATCTGTAGCAGGTGGGGAGGCTGCGCAGCTTCCCCTTGGATCAAGGTATCTCGCCAGCCTCCATGGACTTTTGAGCTTTCCCACCTGCTTCATCGTCACTTCCTGTTGGGCACAACTCGTTCATACTACTGTGAAACTCCGTTCGCTCATTCGCGCTGCCCATTTCAAACGGTCCCCATCAAAAAATGCTGGCAATTTGTGCCCTTGTCCTGCTCCAAATATTGCTAATGTTGAACCCTCCAATGCCCCTATCTGTGCAGCGATTTTCTCTCTTGTTTCATACCAGTACCACTAACCTGCCAGTCATCTACAACCCCTAATATTGGGAGGCGCAGATGCACTACTGTATGGCCCTTTCACAAGGAAAGAACCCCAATCTCCACTAACTCCTATCGGCTTTGCTTCACCCTTCTCCAAAAGGACCACCGTCCACCTCTTTCCAGGCAAGCACAATAAACCTGAAGCGCCTGCCACCGTGCTCTCCAGTGGGGAACCCGCCTTTATATCGACAGGGGCTCC